GGTGGGGTGGGGGGCTCTGGCGGCTCTGTGAACACAGGCCGGAACTGCTCTGCGCACTGGTCGGTCTGGACCGGCCAGCACAGGCTGAGGGATGAAGGGGTGCAGAGAAGCGGGAGGGAGAGAGACACAGCTGAGCCGTCTGCTCCGTCACACAGTCTGTGGTGACAGGACAAGTTCCCAGACGTGTTCTATTGTGGGCAGAAAACTACCGAAATCCCACACTACCTACTGCAAAGCTGCAATGACGGAGCCCGTGATTGTCCGTTTCGGACAAACAGACTGGACACCACAAGCCCAAGGCCACCGCCGAGCAGGTTTGCCTGTTCCTTGCTTCCAGAGTACGAGCGGCTTACAGGGTAACAGGCAACTGGAAGCCATTCTGTGGCTCCGTGAAAACCATCCAGACTGTTCTAAATCCTGGGTAACACTCTAACTTGAGAACAAGCCGCACCCTGACTTCAAGGCACAGAAGGTCCCACAGCAGCCCATAGGACAACAGGCCCGGGGTGGGGGGTCACACACATGGGCGGTTCTTCCTGAGACACTGACACAGGGAATGCTGAAGGAGCGTTCAGTAGTGAAGCTGAAGGGGGAAAATTCTGCCTTTCTGTAGTTCTCGAAACTCTGTAGCAAACCATTTCATGATGACTCCTGAAATACAAGCGCCACAAGGTGTGACATGGATCCCATGCCTCCCGCCACCCACTGGGCTTCTGCCATACAGGCCCCAGCGTGGCGTTAACCCACCAGAGCCACAGCCCTTGAGGGGGCAGCGGCTTGCCTCAGGTTGTGCAAAGTGAAAAAAAGGCTAAGAATAAGAGTTTTTAGTTTTTGCAGGAAGTGAGGTTACCCAAGGGTACCCAAGGAACCTTCTTTAAAGCTGTGTTTTCACAGCAAAGCTACAAATATATAAACACCCCAACTTTCCTAATGACGTTTTATCCACACTTTACTTAAGACTGAGCTGTCACTTGTCACCATCAGTGACTCCTCTTACTGTGGCTCTCATTATTAGGGCCCTGGGAAGCAGGTACCGAGGGTGCAAAGGCAACTCTGAGAACTACAGACCCTGCTCCCCCATTTCAGGGTCAGCTCGACGAATGGTATGCTTGGAAGCCTTGGATAAAGTTTCTTTCTGTGGAGAGCTAAAGGGTCCTCCTCCTCATCAAATAAACAGCTCTAACATCACCAGTGCAGCAGCCCGGCCACCCCAGATGGTAGCTTAATCGCCTGAAAGAATTAATCGTGCACCTCCAAGGCCATTATTCACCCAGAGAATAGTCTAGGCAATAGAAAGAATCTGGCCCATTATAGCCCACACAATTGAGAAATAATATGCAATCACAGACATGAAGCCTGGCATATGGTAATCTCTCTACTGTATTGAGATTCATTGTAATAAAAGTGCTGCTCAAACCCTTCTGTAGAAATCTGAAAGGCATACCTTTCTTTTCTGGAAGAAACATCACAATAAGACAAGCCAGTCCTCCCAAGCACAGAAATGTTGCTAATGTTCGCTTCCGACCACACCTAAATAAGAGAGAGACAATTTCTCTTGAGAATCTCACCAATCCATCGCTGCTTCTCCCCACCTTCCTTTTACATCGTCCTCAGTTTCATTACATACGCTCCTCTTTTCTTAAGGAGCAAGGGGCAATTCTGACAGACCAAGACACTGAATAAATATCATCAAACAAAGGAAGACTTGCTGGATGGCAGGAAAAGAACTTAGAAGAATGTTAACCCCGTGCCTGGCACGGCTTACAAGCTCCTTGATCATTATCATACTTGGTCATAGCAACCATCCACACTTCCATCCCCTAGAGAATAAAGAAACATGTTTCATTTTCTGATTACAAAACTCTTGAGCATTTACATGTTTAAAACTGTCAAACAAACTTTTCTCTCTTAAAAATACAAAAAAAGGCCCTCCCTGGTGGCGCAGCGGGTTAAAGCACAGCACTGAGAATCTAAAGCCGCTTCCTCATGAGTTCGATTCCCGCCTGCCCCGGAGGTGACCACATGGCGTGGCAGACCTCTCCTGACCCGCCCGCTGCTCCCCTCAGCAGTGTATTTCATTGATCTGCCTGTTCTGCACTCCACTCTGTCTCTGGTGAATTCTCTCACCCTCCACATCTCTGGCCTGTATCCCAGTTCTGTATGCACAAATAAAATAAAATCTTTAAAAAAAAAAAAATACAAAAAAAAAAGTATGTCTTGTTAGAATGTCAGAATTGAGCGCGGTGTAGTGCACGCTTTATTGGGAGAAATAATTTTCAGATAAAACCTCTAGCCTTGGAAGAAAAGATACTGATGTTAATAAGACTCCTGCCATTGGCCAGGTCCTTGTGACAGTTTCATCAGGGGAATTTATAACCCTGAGTTTCAAGACGGGCACGTGGAGGCTTTGTGAGAGGCTGGTCAAGGCCATAAAACTAGCAGGTGGCTGGGACTGGCCTCGATGACTGCTGGATCCCAAAGGCGGGGGTCCTCCCGCTTTTACTCGGGCTTTACTGTTAACTGGGGGGGGGGGGTTGGGGAAGGGGAACAGGGTGAGCAGGAAGACAAGGAGGGACTTGAGTCTCCAGGCAGTTTGCTGGTGTAACAGTTGGTATCCAAAGCCTTTCAAATTAGAGGCACCCTGTTAGGCAGGGACCCCGGGGTGCAATGCTGTAGGGCGGCCCCAGAGGCCATGTCCTTGTTCCACTTCTGTGGGTGTCAGAGGGGCACACCAGAAGCTGTTCAGCATGAAGGCGGGGGTGTTGGCACACTGGGGTGTAGGGGCAAGTTTCCGAATGTGCCACCTGTCCTGGCTCCCGGGCCAGGACGAGAGGACACTCCATGGCCAAGGGAAAGGGGTGTCAGCAGGGCCATCGGAACACCCCCCAGAAAAAGCTTCAATTGAACAGACCCAAAGCTGAGTTTCAAGACGGGCACATGGAGGCTTTGTGAGAGGCTGGTCAAGGTCACGAAACTGGCAGGTGGCTGAGACTGGCCTCGATGAGTTGATCGTCAACATGCTCTAAGCTCGATAGTCGCGTTATCAAGTCTGAGGACGGGAATGTGACTTTTTTAAATGATGATTTCTGAAGAATAAGAAATAGACTGTCCCACTGATTCCCAGCTCACCCAGGTCAGGACTTTTCGCTGTCCTGATCAGGAGCTAAATCACAGATCTGGGGAAACTGAGGAAAGCTTAGTCTGTAAAAGGACTTTCACAAAGCATTTCAAATCTGTGCCCCCTCTGTGACCTTGAAGAAGTTCTCATGGTTCTTAAGAGGTAAGAAAAGCCCCTCTAATCCTTTCAGCAAGAACTAAAGGACTGTGGTTAGGCGCTGGCCTTCCATGCACTGAGCGCTCATAGATAATCCCATCTGCTGGGCCCAGCAGGTTACACAACTCTAAAGCCTTCCGGTGGTTATGCCTTGTCACACTGGGTTAAGAACTGAAATCCTGGAAACATGAAACCCAGGACGTACTGTACTGAAAGTGATTTCTGGTCTGGTTAGATCAGAAATTCGAATCACTGTGGAGTAATTAATTAGCAGACACGGCACACGGGCGAGGACAATGGTGCTGATGGGTCAGTGAGCGTGTGTGTTCCGTGCCGTGAACGCCACTCCCAGCTCCACTCACCATTTTCGGTTAATCAAGTAGATGCAGATAGGGTAGGACGGGATCTCTATGAGGCCAGACAGGGCCAGATTGGCGTAAATATTTCCTCCCAGATCCCCTGCGCTCAGAGTCAGGCCGTAATAGACCAGGCTGCACACAAACCTGCAGTGAAGGACAGAAAACACATGTGAGAATTTGCCAGAGAAGATCCCACAAGGTGTGAGTTGTCACAAACAGCAATCCTGACCTCCCCACAGTCTTTCTTTCCCAATCTAAATCCCTGTATCAGGAAGAAACGAAGCCTACAGGGGCCTTGGACATGACCTGACGGGATGTTGGAAGTGACAACCAGCCCTGGAAAAGCCAGGCAGCGCCCGTGCTTGGCCAAATGTGTCTGCCTTGGACAGCCGCCAGTGACCTTGCTTTTCTGTCTTTAATTCAAGAATCTATGGAGGGCCTCCCTGGTGGTGCAGTGGGTTACGTCTCAGCACTATCAAGCTATCGCCAGCCACTGCAGCACGAGTTCGATCCCCAGCCAAGGAGTGACCCACAGGGCGCAGCAGACCTCTCCCGTCTCCCACTGTTTCCCTCAGCAGTGTAGTTCAGTAGATCTGCCTGTTCTGCTCCCCACTCTGTGTCTGGGGAATTCTCTCACCCCCGCACCTCTGACCTACACCCCAGTTCTTATATGCATAAATAAATAAAACAGAATTTATGGGACTCTTGTTTTAGGCAATTGCTTTTATATTATCTAATGGATGCTAGAAAAGAGCTCCCGTGGAGAAAGCCATGAGAGGATGGCACAGGCCAGAGATGGAGAAGGGACTGATGGTGGCCCCCAGCCCCAGCCCTGCACCAGGGACACCTGGCTCGGGAGAGGGAAGACAAGTCTGGGCAGAGTTAGGTGCCTCTTGGGTCAACCAGAAAAGAGCCCTCTAAAGCCATTAAGTGATTGCCACAGGTCGACGCTGGGCACCCCTGGGTGCACGTAGGGCTGGGTACTAAGCTGGGAACTGGGGTGTCCAGACGCTAAGCTGCTGCCCGCACTTGGGAGCCTGGCAGCCCACAGCTGAGCCCGGGTGTCTAGGAAACCGCATTATTAAAACCAACCCAGACAGAACAGAACAAGCAGAAATGAACTCCTGAAACAAGGTTCAGTTACAGCCGAACACTTTTTGTCAAACATCCATTTCTAGACACAGAGTGAAACACTCGGCGTTTGGAAGTTCGCCCAGTCTTCTGTTCTGCAATTCACATTAGCAACTACGTATTAAAAGGGGAGTTCCCATTTGCTTTCTTTTGGTTTTTGTGAAAAAATTCCAACGAGCTATTGCCACGATGAGAGCAAACGGAAGCGAGACCTTTATTTCCACCTCTGCCGAAAGCAGACAGTGGGCTGGGCCTGGGCTCAGTGACCCCACAGGGGTGGCAGGCAGGGAGCAGGCAGGGAGACCCCGAGACCCTGCCTGATGGGTCACCCCTGAGGGCCGCAGCGGCACCAGCTCAGCACAGGGCCGGGGCTGCCTGATGGGGCTGCGGCCAGGGTGTCGTGTTCACCGGGAAGGGGGCGCCTGGCCCGCAAGCAGCAGGCCAGACAGATCAAACCCGGGCCGTGCTCGAAAACGTTTTAAAAATCTGGCTGACTGCAATAAAGGCTCCCTCTGTATGGGATGGCATTTCCGCAAGGGGCGGGAGTGTGTCAGTGTGTCAGTGAGTGTGAGTGTGTCAGCGTGTGAGTGTGTCCGTGTGTGGGTGTCAGTGTGAGTGTGGCACAGAAAAACATCTCAGCAGGTTTTCTCAATCTGCGGATCTGTCTAGCTTTATTCACAAGTCACTTTCACTGAAAACTGGCCTCTTTTCTCCCCATGTGAGCATGCAGGTTTCCCGGCAGGCTTCACGGCCAGACATGGGACCCCGCAGCACAGGCCTCCTTCAGGCCAGTGACTGATGTTTACGTCCCGCATGGAACACCAGAATGTGTCTGTCCCTCCTGCAGAATGCACAGTGTTAAAACACGTGCAACCACAAAGTGCAGGTCCCACCCAGACATTCCTTTCTTTCCACAACTCCACTTGGCAAAAGGACCACCCTGAGCCAACCAGAGGACTGGACATTGCCAGAGTGGAGACTCAGGTTCTGTCCATCTGGCTCTGGGTCCGTTGTGCCCAAGTCTGCGCCCATGTGTGCAGGGGCTGGCCTGGGAGCACCAGGTCACCCCAGGGACTCACCAGCGGGCATGTACTTAGCATACCTGTTGGAGGCCAAAACCAAAAGCAGACCCTTTCATTTCCTTTTCTTCCTTTCTTTGTTTACTTTGGTCTATTACGTGTATTTGTTTTCTTATACTGTTGTCCACGTTTGCACAGAATTTTCAAGACCCTTTTAGAAACTTACTCGCTTGTGGAGGGGAAGCGTGGCCCAATTGCACGTCGGCATTAATCACCTCCTGAGCCGAGACGTGAGAGTGACCCCTGCTTATATCCGCTCAGTCTACCTGCTGCCGGCACACTACCTCTTCCCTGCACATCTTCCCTGGGCATTTGGGGCACAAGCCCAGTGGGCACAAGGCCAGGCCCTGCCGGGCGGAGGCCCTGTTTCTGGAAGGCCAGCCTAAAGCTAACCGAAGAGCCGAGGTTTCTGTGGCCCGCACGCAGGAGCAGGCCACCCGGGACAAGGTGGCCGGCCCGAGGGCAGCTAAGGGAGCAGCCCCTGCGCGTAATTACCAGATGAACATCAGGGCCAGCGTGTGCCCCAGCAGTACCCGGTGGCGGAATAGGTCCAGGACGCTGCCGGCCTGCAGGGCGCCCCTGTGGGCCGGGTGTGTGAGCGTGAACGTGGACTTCGGCTTGCGGTTCCGCCTGGCGATGAGGAGCAGAGTGTCTTCGGCCTCGCTCAGCCGACCCTGGGAGTATAACCAACGAGGTGATTCAGGAATGGATCTGAAAGAGACGGCATGAAAGGATATAGCCCCAGGAGGCACAGTGCCGGCGGGACACTCACCGCACAGCGCGTGGCCCACGCCAGCCTCCGGACGAGCCTCCCAGGGCCGCGGGAGGGGGACCGCTCCCCACAGTCTGGCAGGGGGAGAGGCGGCCTACTTTGCGCATGGAAACCAGCTAGCAGTCAAAGAGGGAGATGGTAGGCATTTAAGAATGCTATAATGTGTGGCGTTGAAGCCAGTCATACTGAATGATACAAATTCCTCTGGAAGCCCAGGTTACAGATACGGTGCTAAATTGCAGCCACGTGTTGTTAAAATAATGCTCTAGAAAGGGGCTTTTTTCGGATTTTTGGTGTTTGGAAGTAGCCTCATCAGAAGAAAAAAGCTTACGAAGTGTCTTTAACATAGTGGAATGTTATTAAGAAGGCAGAGATTATTTTAAGGTACATGTAAAACTGAAGCAAGACTTAGCACAGCTTAGTCACTCTTGAAGGTTTACTGCTTCAAAAGACTCCAGTCAGCTGACACGCTCACTTTAATGCGTCCTGGGGATACTTGCTGGTCCCCCAAGATATTCAAGAAGGAACGTGATCTGTGGCTTCCGGTTAAAGCAAGATGGTTATTTTCCACGTTAACTACAAGGTACTGAAGATTCAAATTGCTACTGATAGCTTCGGTTTCATGACTTAGATGTTCTGTATCTGCCCTCCTCACAGTTCTATATTTCCAGAGGACTGTCCAAGACAACACTGTGGCAGAAATAGAATAGAGGAGCCTTGTTTACTAAACACAGAAGAAAGTACTGTTTGATGTATTTTGGGTCTAATAGATCTATTGGATCTATTATTTGCCTAAAATGAAACGCATATGAATAATAGTGTCTACTTTGGGGAATTTATGGAACAGGCCTTATCCTGTGGATAAGGATAGTGAGTTGACAGCAAAAGGCAGAGAATTGGGAACTTCGTGGACAGCCTGTGAGCAGTCTCCTCAAGCACTTTCACTTTATTCCAAGCAACATAATAGGTGCTAAGAGAAAAGGCAATGGAAAGCCAGGTATTTCCACCACGGGGAAGATAATATTTGTACATTTAATTGTCAACAAAATCAGAAACAAAGATCTTCGATAACAGTTGGAAAAATCCTTCCTCATTGTCACTGGACCATTACTACTGACACACAGGTAAATAACCAGATAAGAGACTGTCCTGTCAGACGGTAAGTCAGCCCACCACCAGCTGGATCAGCTGTTCCTATCAGTGGCAATTTGAATCTTCAGTACTTTGTAGTTAACGTGGAAAATAACCACCTTGTTTTAACCGGAAGCTACAGATCACGTTCCTCCTTGAAGATGTTGGCGGACCAGCAAGTATCCCCAGGATGCATTAAAGTGAGTGTGTAAGCTGACTGGAGTCTCCTGAAGCAGGAAAACTTCAAGAGTTTTGCAGAAGGCACTGCAAAAACTACATGATCGTCTCAACACAAAAAACACAAGAGAAGTCTACAGGGATATCTGTAGAAAGAAAAGATTGGGAGAGAAGAATTATGAAAGTATGTACTAATAAAAATCAAAACTCAGGGCCCTCCCTGGTGGCGCAGCGGGTTAAAGCACAGCACTGAGAACCTAAAGTCACTTCTGCATGAGCTCGATTCCCGCCTGCCCCAGAGGTGACCCACAGGGCGCAGCAGACCTCTCCTGACCCGCCCGCTGCTCCCCTCAGCAGTGTACTTCGTCGATCTGCCTGTTCTGCTCCCCACCCTGTCTCTGGTGAAGCCTCTCACCGCCCCTGAGCCTCTGGCCTGTACCCCAGTTCTGTAAGTACAAAATAAATAAATCTTTAAAAAAAATCAAAACTCAGGAGAACTGGGAGAAGTGAGAAAAAGCCAACAAATAAATAGCTAAATCATTATCATCATGGCATGACTTTTGTCACTCCTGTTTTCCTTTAAAGTTCCCTGTGTTTTCAGGCAATACAAATTATCTTTTAAAAAAAAAGATATATTGATTTCCATAGTCATTGCAGCATTATAAAAATTAAGATATGAAAACAATCGAAGTGCTCATCCATGGATGAATGGATTTAAAAATGTGGTGCATGCACGCATGTGCACACATGATGGAATACTACTCAGCTATGAAAAGGAGAAATCTTGCCATTTGCAACAACATGGATGGATCTTAAGAATATGATTCAGGGGAAATAAGTCACATATAGAAAGACAAATACTATATGATTTCACTCATGTGCAAATAAAGAAACTAAGCAAATGAACAGGGCAAAATAAAAACAGATATAAAAAACTAATTGATGGTTACTGGGGGCAGAAGGGTAGGGGGTGAGGTGAAATAGGGGATCAGTTATCTGGTGCTGGGTAGACTCTTGGTGATCATGAGGCAGTCTACATCCAAGCTGATTCCTCAAGTTATATACCACAAACTTAAGTAATGTTATAAATCAAGGTTTTATGTGTGTGTTTTTAAAAAGAAGAATATGGGGAAAGGCATTGGAAGAACAGCTACAGTACTGATCAAGAGGCAGAAAACATGAGGTTTATCCCAGAACAGCAGGCATCTTTGTGTGCCTGGAGCACAGAGGATGGGGAACTGGATGGGAAAAAATTAAGCAAGATAAATTGGAAGCCAACTGCAGGATACCTTACTCCAGGCCTACTAAAATAAATATGTATTTCAATTTTCTACGTTCTCTTCTCTCACTTTCCAGTTTTTCATGACCTGAATTCATTTTCTAGTAAATAGATGTCCCCAGCTGGCACTGAGCAATAACCAACTCAGATTACCCATTCAGAAAAAGCAAAGCAGACTGACTTGAATCATTCATCGAATTCATTCTCCTATTAAAGGCAGATGAGAGCCAGATTAGATTGAGAAGTACGAAATTTATGAACTGCTCTAAAAGAAAATACATTTATCAACCAATATTTACAGGAATTCAAGGAACTACACTAGACACCATTTATTCCAAAAAGTAGACTATACTCAAGCTATTAAGACAATGTAAGTTTCCCTCTCCAATAAAATTATCTCACCCCTACTCCCACAGTCAGATACGCGTAGTGAGTTTTGTCGTTTTAAACAAAGATGAACTATTTTTGCTATATTCTTTTTTTCACTTAACAGTTCTCTTCAAAGAGAGTATGAAAATAGATTTCAGTTCAATCCCCACCACATCTTAACTAGCAGAGCATGAAAACTGCTAAGTTAAAGCTATTTGAATGAAAATTCTACAAGTGTCCCATACTTTAAGGTATGGAAGAAAATCAGTGCCATTAGCTGAAGTTTTACTTACCCCAAGGACTTGAATGATTAAAATTAGCGGCCTGACATTTCAGGGGGAAATATCTTTCATAAGTGCATTAAAAGTTGTGGTGAAAGAAGCCTAAATTGGCATCTTGCTTTACAGTGTTTCGGGCACCTTCAAGCATTTACTGCACCACGACACTTGGGATTCATCCTTGCACGACACACTACTCTGAGCTCACACTCTCCAAGGCTCGCTCCCTTATCTGAGAATCTTCCAGAGCCCTGAAGTGATACTCATCCATGGGATGAGCAGTTGCGGCTACATTTTTAATATGAACAGACTGAGCCACAAACCATTCTCAGACACACCCACAGCACTGGTCTGCTCCAGCCTGAAATCTTTATGCTTAAAGCATTAAGTGAGAAAGGTGTATCCCGGGTGGACAGCTGAGGTCAAAATGCAGTGTATGGAGAGGGCACTGTAAACCAGGGATACCTGCATTCTGAATTAAGCAAGCATCTCTCTTCCCGGGCTGCCAAGTGTTGGCATGTTATAGAATTTAGTTCTTCACCAAAGTCAGAGCAGGCAACCTCCTGAAGGGGAAGAACGCCGCTCAAGACCTGCATCCTCTAAGTCGCTCCTGCTGCTTTGTACTGTAAAGCGCTAGGAGGAAACACTACTTACAGAGACAAAAGAAAGACCACGGTTCCTTGCAGGTTCACCAGAACGGCGAGGGTCCTCCAGGAGCGGATGAAGTACCCCAGCAGGGCATACTGGGCGATGCCAACAGCGAAGAAGAGGCCACCGATCGATCCTAATTCAGAGACAAGAGCCAGTTACTAGAGAAAGCACCACCTGCTCCGTCATTTCCAGCCGAAGCCCCAGAGCCCATCCCTTCCATGTGAGATTTGGCAGAAGAGGAAAAATCTGCATGCACATCACGTGTCAGATGGTCAAACTAGAAGAGGCCAGCGATCACCTGCAGAAGGACAGACAGGTGAAAATAAAGCACCTGTGGCCAGGGTGGATTGGAGGCTCTGCCCGAATGCTCCCTGCACTCAACGTTGTGCTGACATCCGCCCGTGCTGAAGCTGGGAGACCTTGTTTTTGCTACAGGGCAACAAAGATTTCAGGGGTGTGAGGTTATTGCAATTCTGACTTCATCTTTATCACAGAGGCTGCCACGGAAATTCTTCTCTTCCGTAGGAGTCTGTTTCGTGATTCTCTGTTGTCCTTCCCTACTTAATTTAGGACCATCGGATACGTGTCGCTTTTTGTTTATCTGGGTTTTATCTGTCTCTCCCAAGTAGGATATAAGCTCTGTGAGGCATGGATTTTTGTCAGCACATTGATAGAAAAAAAAAAAAAAAGCAATGCCTGCAATTGTGTACTAGCTGTAGTAACAGTTACTTTTTTTTTTTTTTGCATTTTAAGCCTTCACAGACCCTGTTCCCACAGCAGGTTCCTTATTAGCACAGTGAGGAAGCAGTTCAGAGCTGGGGGGCCAGACCCGCTGGCCTGGCTGTAGCCTTCCCTCCGTGCCTGTCCGCCGCCAGCCCCTTGTGGGAAAGGCAGGCTTCGGTGGGGCTCTCCAAGCCACGGGACTTTGCTGCTCTACACCAGCAAATTCCCTACAATGATCCTGTAAAACAAGTGCTTCCTTTCATTCCTGTGCATCGATGAACGATCTTTACAAAAAGACAGACCGGGCTTGAGAGACCCAGTATCCTCATCCACAAAATGAAGGCAGACATTCTTGTAAGCTCTGTGAATATCACAGATGTGGGTCAAGGTCTCAGGGGTCCCAGGCAGGTACCATGGTAAGAAATGGGAGCTGGCACAATGCATGCGACCTAAAGAGAGACGAGGCTCTCAGCCTCTTCTCCTTGGGATGCATTTTTCTCGGTCACACGGCTAACCTGTTTCCCAGGTTAGTCCAAAAATTCCAGCAGTACTCAGTAAGCGTCAAGGGAATGACAAGCAAAACAAAGTTATTGCTACAGAGAGCCCATGTGATTTCCAGTCACTGGCTTTTTAAACCATTTCTTTCACTTTAAATTTTTAAAAAAATTAAAAAAAAATATATTCATTGCATCGTCCTTCATTTTTGTACAATGTATGGCTTCCCCGTGATATTCCTCCTCTTCCCCTACAGCAACATGGACGGGGCTGGAAGGGATCACGCTTGGCGAAATAAGCCAGAAAGAAAAAGAAAAATACCAAATGGTCTCGCTTATAGGAGGTATACAGAGAAAACAAAAGCGGAATCAAAAAGCAAAAAAAAAAGAAGTAATTAAAGTAAAAATCAAAGTCATCAGGTAACTGTAGATCAGAGACATTTTGAATCTTTTAAAAATAATTTGATTCTGTGCACGGGACTACAGTGATGGCACACGGGTGATTTGGTGATGGGAAGCCCATGGGGATTATAACTGAGATGGAAAAAGGCACAAAATGATGGAAAAATAAACTATTACAATAAAAAAATCATGTTTCTAAAATCATTTCTTTTATGACAATGTTGTTTCAAGAAGACGATTAAAAACAATACAAAGTGTGGCCTCCATTCTGGAACTCAAACAGCAGTAACGAAACACATACAGGACACTCTCACACTCTCTGCTACCTCGACTCCTGCCAGAAAGGCCAGTGACAGGAGAATCCAGTGAAACGTTGTGAGAAGGTTCTGGAAGAGGAGTTTTGAGTGTTCCTATCTCCGCACTGTTCTTCAGGCTAAGGTAAAAAGCCATTACTGCCTGTCTGAGGAAATCTAGGCTTTCAGAATACCCCCAGGCCAGCTGTGCAGTGGGGGCTCAGATCTCTGAGGCTGGCCCCTGGGGAGGGTCCCCTGAGGGATATGAAGAAAATGACTCATTCGAGGTCCTGGGAAACAAAAACTCTAGTTGGGCAGAGAGCCTCAAGTTCAGCCACGTTTTCGACTCTGGGGTGAAACTGGTTCTCTCTGGCTTTCGGAAGGGGCTGCCACCCCTGTCTGCCACCTCTCAGCTGCCACCCCTGTCTGCCACC